CATCTGTCATCTTGGTTCAAGGTCTTTCAGCTCACCTTTAATGTTTTCCTCGTCCTTTTCCCATTCACTGAGACGTTGTTTGTAGTGATCTTCAATTTCAGGGTCCATGCTTTCAGTTTCAAGATTATCAATAGCTGCCCTGTACCTAACTCCTCCTAGTCTCACCTGAGTGTTCCGGATGTCTTGCCAGTACGCGTTAAACGTTGTGTCATCAACCGAAGCTTGTTCGGCATGCGCGTACACGGTGTTTCTAAAGTACTTTACAAGAGCAATAATCGCTTCACGACTCATTGTCCATCCGGTCATTGAAGAAGGCAAGCCGCAGGTATTTCGCAACAGAACCATCAAAAGAGTGATCATGTCAAAATCTCTCGAAGACACTCAATAAGGAGTGACAGAAAAGAGCCTGCCCCATTGCGTCGCATTGACAATTCTTCTCGATCTTAGACCTTGTAAAGAGGGTTTATTTGTCACCAAAACCGCGTGAAGATTTACTGGCGTGTGAATGGCATCAAGTGTGTCCCTGAGCGCCTGGGCACTAACATCAACCAGGAGACGACCCAAGCGAGCAAAGTTAGTCGTCTCTTTATTTCATGAAGCTCTTGGTGTTGCGCTAGCCATGAGAGTAATCTGTTATTGATCAATGCCAGGTAGAGATTAAGAAATAAGATAGTTCTAAGGTTGTTTTCCTTAATTTCGAACAAAAGTTTGTAAGGTTACCCTACTTCTTACAGTGTTTTTTACCCGTGGTTTCATGAAAATGACAACCACGTTATATACTAGTAATGAAACGCTTTCGAGTGGTTTATCATGGAAATTCCCAAGATTAATTCACTTGTATCATTTTGTGACAAAGGCGATTTTTTATTGTATACTACTAGAGGGCGTTGCATAACTATTTTATACAATGCCATAAAAAATAAAGTGGCAACTGAACACAAGCAATACGCAATAGAACTATCATACGCGCGGTGCATGATGGGAAGGCTTGATGTGCTAGCATCGAATATACAACGTCATTCCTGTATTCTGATTGGCTGTATTTTCTATGACATGGTATAGATGATTGTATTTCACTGGGATGAGATGGCTCTGTCTTCTCATTTTCTCTTTCTTAGTTAGAGAGAGAGAGAGAGAGAGATTTTCCACAATGCAAACTAAAAAAACCGGAGAACTGACCAAGTTCTCGGTATTTTGAAGAGCGAGAGCAGAGCAATGGCTATGCACGTGCGTTATAAATCTTTGTACATGTCATGATTTTCATTTGCGAAACAATAGCTTGAAATGACCACGACAACTAATTAATGATTATTCTTGTGCGGTAGGTAAAGTCTGCATACAAGGCAAGTGCCCCATCAAGCAGGTGCTTATCTCCAGTCTCAGTAGCATGAACAGAGTG